GTTGGAGTGGAGACCAGTTACCAACCCTCTGAATGAGTCTTAGTTTGGGGAGAGCCCTGGGGTTTGCACTGACCTGAACCCAAGATGATCCACACTGACACTTCTAGTCTTGTCCTCTGCTGGGCCCACCATGTGAGGAGAAGTCAGGGCATTGCCTCTTTAGAGATTGTATATGTGAAAGAGGTATGGATGAGAGTCCATACCTGCTTAAGAACTGCTTTGTGGTGTAGTATGAAGCAGGACTGCTCTACTGTCCTAGAAAAGTTGGTTTTAGGAGTTCTCAAGAATCCCTAAGCTAGCAAATATGAAGAATGCTGCAGCACACAAACATGATTCAAGTACTGTGGGAGCAAACCTTATAATTAAATGGAAGTGCTATGAAAAGGTCCCTTTCTCACTGTCCTCTGACTAAAGAGTGCATATAATGTCAAGGTGAAGTAGACAAAAAAGTCCAGAATGTGTAGATAGCATTAAGTTATAATAAGATGCAGTGCCTGCCCAGTAGGATCTCTTCAGTGTATACATTTACTTTGAGGAAGGACACTGGGGCCAGAAATGTGGGTAAGTCTATCAGTTTTCAACTCTTGGCAGATAGGAGCTTTTCTTCTCTTCTTGTCAACATTTTCTTCCTTACCTGTTCTTTGCACACTCCCCCTGCCATCATTCCCCTGGCCTGGTCCCTGGTATCCTTCTGCTCTCCCCTCCCAAAACCCTAAGTGTCAAACTTTTCCCTGTTTCTTCTATTTAAAGAAATCTTTCAACCATCCTTACTCCTAAGCTGCCCTTTCTGTCTCAAAGGCCTATAATACAGTGCCTGGAACATAGCAGATGCTCGGTAAATTTATTTGTTGAACAAATAACTGAATCCTTTTTTTACTTCCTTGCTAATAAACTTCCCCAGAGCACATACTTACTTACAGCCTCCATGTTTTACCATCCTTTCTGTCCTCCTTTTGTAGCCTGTCCCCCACCTGTCTCCCTAAAAATACTCTCCAAAGTCAGAGACTGCTGAGACACCCCCAAGGCTCCCCATCCCCCTTTCTGTGTCTCCAGGGCATGGAAGCACCCTCTCTCTTGGCCACATGGCAGTGCATCCTCCCCAGGCGCCTATGTTATGTCATGTTTAGGAATCAGAAATTCTTTTTTTTTTTTTTTTTGGCTATTTAAATCAAAATGTTCTTTTTCTTCCCTTTTGCCTCCTAAATGGAGCACATGCTTTTCCAAAGTTCTCACTAGGCTTCATTCCCTTTGCAATTTTTCTACACCAGTGACTTCAACAATGGCAACTATAAAGGAATTCCCAAATTCACTGTCCGTCTCGACAGCATTTCTGAACTCCAGTGCCGTAGTTCAGGTATCTATGGAAGCTCTCCATGTAGATTATTAGTAGAATTAAAAATTTATTCTTCATTTCCAAAACAGCTCAAACAAATTTATTTTCTTGATATTACTGTCTCTGCTTATTATGCCGCCATCCTCTCCATTAGTAAGACTCAAAATATTGGCATCATCTTTGAGTCCTTCCTTTCCAGCCACCTGAATCTAACTGACCTTTCCCTCATTCGGGCCCCGGGTACCTCACTCCTGGTCTTTCACCCTCACCTCTCCCCAATTCTGTCCTCACTCAGCCACTGGACAGCCTCTCCTACTTCCCTGACCCACCCCACATGCTGATGTGGCCGAGCACTTCCTAAATCCCTTCTCTGACCCTGGCACCATCTGCACAGCGACAGTCATGGACTCTTCACTGGTCATTTAATCAAGAAACATGGAACTAATATTTTTGAGCATTTATCACATGACAGGCTTGTGAGGTCTGACTCACTACCTCTGTTTTATCAGAGAGGGAGCTCAGGCTCAGAGAGGTAAGGTATCCTATACATGGTTACATAAAGAGTTGGTGGAAACCCTGGGATTTTAACACCACTTTCTGGCTTTATGCAGTGCAGGACCTAAGTTTAAATCATTTAGCCAAGTGTCTGGGAATTGTGCCTCGTGCCCTGTGTGCTCCGCCCCCTGCATGATCCTCAGTGCACAGCCAGACGACATCCAAAGCTCTCTTCAGCTCTCACCGAGAACCTGATTCCCTACAGCCCTTCCCTGATTTCCTTCTCTGATCTTCGATCACACCATCTTTGTGCAGGTCACCAAACTTACACCCTCCAAAACTCAATACAAAGAACTTCCTTTTTCTTCTGTGTGCTTCCAAAACGATTTCTCCATCCTGCAAATCTTCACTGGATTTAAAATCTGTTGTGGTTTTGGTGTAGGTTCCCCTGGTCCTTCAAATTGATTAGTTCTTCTTACGCATTCCCTTAGCACCCTCTCACACCCCCTTCCCCAAGTTGTATTACTTTTATAATTAATTACGTGTTCGATTCCTATCACCAGCTAAGATATAAGTTCCCCGAGGGCAGGAGCTGGTCTGTCTTGTTCATAAGTGCTTATGCACGTCTACCTCAGTGCCTCACACATAGTAGATATGCAATAAAATTCATTAAATAAGCAGCCTAATACCTTGCTCTTTCTCTTGAAGATGCTAGGTCACTTGTAGGAAAATGGCCACATTTGTTTGAGCTTTGTAGCACCTGCAGCATTTAGCTCATCCGCATTGTGCTCAGAGTTAGAAACTCAGTACGTTTTTGTGGCGTGAACTAAACAGGCCTGAATAGTCTTCCCCCATCTTGGTGTAAAATTGAGGGTGTCGGAGCTAACACTCATCTTACTAGAATAACTTCTCCAGCAGCCTCCGCTAAGGTTTTAGGGCATTGTGGGGGAGCCCTTGAAGGCCCTCCAACCTCTTTGCTCTCAGGTACACTGAAGAGCTCCTGAAGGTGAGAAGCGCTCAGCACAGATGTTATCGTCAGTGCCATTCTGTCAAGAACCCTTCTTTCGGCATCTGGCTGAATGTGACACTTCTCTTTTTTTTCTTGCCTCCAAACCATGGCTTCTTTACCTCCACCATATTCTCACCACTCCCTTGCTTCTAAAATATCAAGGTTCTAGCCCTCTTCTTTGGCAGTCTTTTCTACTCATAGCACCCTCCTCTGTTCACAGGTGATCCTGGGGTTTCTCCCCCACCTCACCCTTCAAGGCAGCACCTTCTTCCCCTAAGAGTGATACCCCGGCCTGCAGCCCGCGGGGCTCCCCAGAGAACGTGTCCTGCCACACTGAGCAATGCTGCAGGCTCCCTGGGTCCTCCCTCTCCACCTCCCCTGGCCCTCTGCCACTCTCCTGTCAGGGCGACTGTCTCCTGCTATCAAAAATATGGGTAGAGAGTTACTTAGGTGAAGGTTGAGAGATGGACATAGTAAAAAATACTATTAGTTGCCCTGAGAGAGTGTAATAAAGGGAGTTTGATGAGGTATGACAGCTTTCCACAGTTAATGAGCCATTTGGCATCTCCTCACACAACCCAGAGCTGGCCAGGGCCCATCCCCACTAGGGCATGCTTGGGATTGATCTTCTCTTCATACCTGGTGCCACGTTCACTGTTTCTCTGTTTGGGAAAACAGTGTGAGGTCAGCTGCTTTCTGGATGATACATTTGACTCCTCTTAGAGTGAAGATTCTGTCCCCCCAACTCCCCGCTGCCCCAGTACCTATTTAACATTTTCTCACGCTATAAGAAGTCTTCATTGCTCCAAGAAGGGTGTAAGGTGCCAAACCAAAGAACACATCTGAGTTTGAGCAGCCTGCTTTTTTAATGTATCCTGGGGCGACAGTAGGAAGTAGGTTAACAATTCACTGGACAGAAGATGCTTTAATTGGAAACCTTCTACTTAATGTACAAAGATGAGACACAATCCCAGTGTGGATTTCTAACCTCTAAGCACATGTGTTGCATCAGGTGCCCTCTTACCCACACTCAACACTACTGGCCAGTTTGGGGTTCTTAGGGCCCAGGGATCTTGACCACAATATGGACCATATTGGCCCTCGGTAGATCTGCCTGGCGGCTTTTAGATTTAGGGACTGCCCCACTTGGCTTCTCCTGGGTGTGTTTCCACATAACCCTGGGTTCAGGGAGCATGACCTGTGTGGCTGTCTCTGGAGTCCAGAAACTAGAATGTAATACAACCCCTGTGACCAATTGTAAACAAGGACCATTTAAGTAGCTTCACTAAGTATCACACTACCAGTAGTATTATCTTCTCACAAGTTGGTGTGAATCTCTGAGGAGCCCTAGAAGTAAATAGGATGATGGTAGCACTTAACCTCTCATGAACTCCTATTATGTGGCAGGCACTGAGGGGAAGAGCTGGTATAGCCTGCTCCCGATGGCAGTCCTGCATTGTTGGTGGTCGGTCATATTCCCATTTTGCAGATGAGGAAACTGAGGCTCAGAAAAATTAATTTGTCCAAGTCACACAGCTAGTAAGTGGTAGGACTAGGATTTAAACTAAAGCCAGTCCAATTCTAAAATGGAAGTACCAAACCCTGGAGAAGCTGTGTACTTAAGGGGTTCAAGAAGATTCTCAGACCTTAGAGATTCTGATATCAGATGTTAGCACAAACTGCATGCTTTCTCCCCATCTCTCCTACTTTAATTACAAAATGGACACATTAAAAAATCATGTTCATATTTTTTTAAAGATTTTATTTACTTGAGAAAGAGAGCATGAGCGAGAGCGGAAGAGAGTGCACGGTCGGAGAGAGGGGCAAAGAGAGAGGGAGAGAGAGAAGCAGACTCCCCGCTGAACAGGGAACCTAACAAGGGGCTCAATCCCAGGACCCTGGAATCATGACCCAAGCTGAAGGCAGACGCTCGGCCACCCAGGCACCCTCATATTTATATTTTAAAAAAACATTGCTGTAGCCACCATCCTCTGCTACCCCCTCCATTGCTCCCTGGGACTGCTGCTTGTTCCTGAGGAGACTGGAAGTGCTTTGTCTCATCTAATCTTTTTTTCTTGAAGACCCTAAATACTTTAATGATGGCCAACATCATAACCCATGACTGAAGATATTTGTCCAATCCAAATTCTGTTTCGCTTACAGGGAATGGCAAATCTGTTCACTGGAAACTGGGAGCCGATAAGGAAGTCTGGGTCTGGGTGATGGGCGAACACCATCTTGATAAACCCTACGACGTGCTCTGTAATGAGATTATTGCCGAGAGGGCCCAGCGGAAAGCCGAGCAGGAAGCGGAAGAGCGCAGGTACGCCATCTGCAAGCCAGCGAGAGGCTGGCCGGATTATAAAATGATGCAAAGATGCCTCTTTTTCAGAGTATCTGGAGGGAGAGTAGGGTGGATCTGAGAGTTACAAAAGTCACTGTAGATCTCTCCGGCAAGTCTCTTTACACTTTTGGGGCTCCCTTCCTTCCCGCAACGCGATCAGATCAGCGGTTTGACGTCCTCACTGGCCATCTGATTTGGTCTGGCTGAGGTTTCCTGGGTGATCCCTGGCTCCCCTAGAGTCGTGCCAAAGCACTGAAGCGGACACAGCTGAGCATCAGGAATGTAAGTGAGAAATGCAATGACTGTTTAAGCTTTGGGCCTTCCAGCAAGATTGTTCACAGGGGGCCGCTGAGTGAGCAGGCCTTCCAGGTGCTTCCACCGCTCTAGGTGGTGGGAATTCAAGGATGAACAAGAAGCTTCTAGGAGGAGGAGGAGAAACAGGCAGTTACACAACTAACTTCTGCTGATACAGGCTGTGATACATGCTACAGCTACAAACAGAGCATTAACTGAGCCCAATATTCCGATCCAGAAAAGAGGTAAAATCTGAATTGAACCTTGAAAGATAAGCAGAGTTTTCCAGCTGCAGAATATCAGGAAGGAAATTGCAAGCAAAGGGCATGATCAAAACCCCTAGTTCTGAATATGTCTCGTTCTTTGGGTGATGATGACTTCTGAATGTTTGAGGTGTACGTGGGCAAGTAGCAGGAGAGAGGGGGCCGTGCTCTAAAGTGCCTTGAAAGCCAGATTTAGGACTTTGGACCTTGATCTGTGGACACTAGAGGTTTGAATAAGGAAGTGACATGATCGCCTGCAAAAATAGGAAGGTAATTTGGCTGGTCTCAGTGAGGCAGGGGATGGATCCCCTCTGTTGGGGGCCCAGGGTGACTTCTGTGAAGGCTGTCACCCCGTGAGTAGGGACAGCCCTCTCTGAGCTGATGAGATAGCAGCAGACATATGGACCTGGGTTCAGGTCCCAAGGGTTGCTGACGCTCCTGTGACCCCCTCCGGTAACTCAAACCATAAAAGGGCGTACAGAGATAAAGGAAGTGTGAGCTGCGCATCCTAGGAAGGCAGTGTGCCCCAGCAGTTTAGCTTCTGAACAGAAGTCGGGCAGACCCGGGTTCAAATCCTAGCTGCGCCACAGTGTGGCCTTGGATAAATAATATAACTATTTTGAGCCTCTTGCAAGTAAGCAAGGATAACAAGCCCTTCTTACGGGGTTATGATGAGGAATAAGTTAGTGTCTTTTCTTTTTTTAAGATGCTATTAATTTGAGAGCGAGAGAAAGAGAGTGTGCCCAAGCAGAGGGGTAAGCAGACTCCGCACTGAACACAGAGCCCGGCGCTGGGCTCAATCTCACAAGAGGAGTCGAAACCAAGAGACAGATGCTTAGCCAACTGAGCCACCCAGGTGCCCCTAAGTTAATGTCTTTAAATACTCGCACAGGGCTTAGCATATTGTAAGAACTCGGTAAATGGTATCTGTTACTGTTTTTCACATGATTTGAATATAGGCATCTGCTTTGGAAAAGCTATCCATGTTGGAGAATGTTTTTGATAATTCCACATTTGTTTCTCTTCAGAAAAACTCAGTCCAAAGAATTCGCCAATAACTTGAAAATGAAATCACAGTATTGTGATCTGCAAGCACCAGATACCCAGGAGACTCAGAATATCTGTAAGAAAGCAGCAACAGAAGAGGAAGAACTGGGGAAGGGCTCTAGACCAGCACCACTCCTTGAAGAAGAGAAAATTCCAGTGAGTCTTTCATATGTATAAATACGCAGAATTTAATAGCCAGGGAAATTAAAGAATTGGGAACAATGAGATGAATGTAGTCAAACATCAGGATCACAAACTTCTCTGGGAAAAATCCCTCCGACCTTGAAGGCGCTGGTGTTCACTTCATTTTGGGGAATTTGGGTCACCTGCTACTTCACAAGAAAGGGTAAAACACTCCTTTTTCATGGGACCGAAGGTGTGAAGAAAGCACTAGGAATAGAGTTGTGCATTTTAAGATATTTTCAGGGTTTATTTCCCCCGTTATATGTCTTCCATAATAGAGGTTGGTAACTGTCTTTGTGAGGGGCCTGAGGGTAAGTACTTGAGGCTTCGTGGACCACGCACTATCCCAGCTGTACTCAAATGAACAGGTGTGGCTCCAGTGCCGTAAACCTTACTTACCAAGTCAGAGCCTGCTTTGGCACCGAGGCTGCCGCTGACTGACCCCAGTCCTAAGAAGCTGGTGTATCTGTGAAGTAGATTATGTTCTGTGGAGTCTTCCCTGTTTTGTTGAGGACTACACCTCCATGCCTCTCTGGCTTCATAGATTCTGCCTGTGCCTGCGGGGACCATGATTTCCTCAACACAATAGAATTTTATAATCAGAATTGGTATGCACTCTCTCATGTTTCAGTTGGTTTAAAGAGCTCAGACATCATTTGCTGCTTAGATTATAGTTTGGAAGAACAATAAAACTATATTATGAAGTACCTTCTTCTGCCAGGAATTTAATTAAACTGAGAATTAACAGGGGATTTGCAATTGTTTGACTTTGGCTCAGGTCCCCAGCTTTGTGACACTAGTTGTGTGTGCTCTTGACCTATTTGAGGCAGTCGCACAGGGCTATGGTTATCTATCCTGCTTCCTTCATGGCGTTATGATGGGGCAAAGCACACTGCTGAATGTCTCTTATCGTTCTTACAATGACTTTATGACCGAGGGACTGTTTCTGTATTTGTCCATTTTACAAGTAAGGAAACTGAGGTTCAATATGGATATTTGATCTGCCCAAGGACTTAGAGTTGACAAAAGACTGACTCAGGATTCAAACAGAAACAGGGGTCTGTAGGACCCCTGGGTCATTCCTTAACTATTGCATTTGATTGTCTTATTAATATGAGGAATACAAAGAAGCTTTATAAAGAGCTGCAAATATAAGGCTCAAAATATTTACGGGTACAAAATTCTAAAATTTGGTTTATATACCAGGGTCAGACCTGGGTCCTTTCCTCACATGTGCAGTAAAGCATTCAGTCCCTCCCAGGGCTGCTTTGTATTCCACATTTAATACCAAACTCCCTCCAAATAGCAGACTCCTTTTCTAGCACCCCTAAAATGAAGAATAACAACAGCAAGAACAAAAAAATCCTTCTTCAAAGCGTTATGTATGCATGCTTATCTATGTGCCTGAATTACAATAGTTTCATAGAAAAAAGTTTTTTTCCAAAAGCAGGACAGAAGATTAAAATAGAAGTTAAATACCATGGTTATTATTGTTCTACTATATCATAAATATTATAGGAATTATATTTTATACACACACACATATAATACACACACACACACATAAACACAGTGAGAGGAGAAGATCTCAAGATTGGCTGTTTACTCATTCATTTAAAAAGTACCCATTATGTGCTAGGCATTGAGATTATAGGGAGGAGTAAGGACAGAATCACTGCTGAACTTTAGAATAAATTGAAGGAAAGGACTGCTGAATGAACTTTATAGTTTAGAAAGCAGAGAGAGACTTCATATAACCCGTCATTTCAAAAGATAATGAGTGATCTCAAGAAAAGGATATGTTTCTATGCATCCCTATTACACTAGAATTTGAGCAATGGCAGGAAGTGCAGGGTGGCTTTGCAGAGGACATGGAGCTGGAGATGATGACAGAGGATTACTGGGGCCAGTGGTTCCAGCAAAGGGACAGCATGGACAAAGGCTATGTAAGTAGAAGAACAGGGGGCTTTGGAGGGCCCGAAGTAGGCTGTGTGGCTGCAATGCAGAAGGGACAGAGGAGAGCATACGATTGAGTGAGAGGGTGGGCAAGGCCAGACAGGACAGGGTCTTGGGGACAACTTTGTGTTTTGGCCTCTTTTTTCAAGAACAACTGGTTATTGCCAAAGATTTTTGAACAAAGGTTTGACCTGGTCAGATTTATTTTTTGAAATTTTTAAATTTGAACTGATTATTCATGGATCAGAGTGGGTGGAGGGCAAGCTTCCTAGCACAACCCAAGTTTCTAAGCTGAGATGCCTGGGATGATGTGGATGCTGTGAGCATGGACAGGAACCTCGGGGGGAGAAGCTGGTTTTAAAGGAGCAGAGTCTAGTTTAGAGATACCAAGGATTCTGCATGCCACTTTAGATGGTAGATATAAGTTGATTTTACACATGATAATAAATTATATACAAGCTGACTTAGAGTTTGCAAAACTTTTTCTCATATAGTTATTTCATTTCATAATATTCCTGTGAAATGGAAAATGCAAGTATTTCTTTCATACAGATGCAGACTAATGCTCAAAGAGATAAGTGGTTTGCCCAAAAATCAGTTAGAAAGCTCTCCTTTTTGTTTATCTACTTTCATTCTCATCATAGCCCTGGGGTATTTAAAATAGAATTCATCATATTCCCCCTATCTGTACCTTCAGATGAGAACTCTGGTGAGAAACCAAGACTAGAGCTTTGGAAGTCATCCGATTATGTTTCCAAAATGCGGTTCAGGCTTGCACAGTAAAGAGGTCCACATTTCATCTGTAATCTATTTTAAGTATAATATCTAGAAGGATATTGTCATTTCTTTAAATGTTCATTATCTGCACACGGCCTAAAATTTATTATAAAAAGAAAAATTGTTAAGCAGTTTTTATTGAAGTTAGTGATCATGAAGCTTATCTGAATAACCATGGGCAGGTTCAAGAGTAATCAGTCTTCCAGAATCATGAACAATATTCACGGAAAACCCACTATAGATTTACTAAAGTACAATGGCCTTGCTAGATTTGTAATAAGTTTCCACTTGACAGATCATCATCAGAGAACTCCAGACCCGAACCTGAAAGCACCCCTTACTGGTCTTACCTTAGTTCTCTGAAGGGCTGTGGATAGTAGGGGAAAGTTAAATTCAACCCATATATTGATGTGCATTCAGCACTGTAGAAGCTCTTGTGCAGAGTCATTTAGCCATGGGAAGTCATTCTTCCGGTGAATAGTGACCCCTTGTATTTGCACTGAAGCATCAGCATAGACTGTATTTCTGCATTTGTGTCAGCCAGCGTTTCTCAGTTCTGCTCTGATTATCTTATGAAAGGGTCAAGGCAAATGTAGTCAGGGACCCCTCTGGGTCTGTGTAAGACTTGGGTTAAATTCAACACTTACTCTTTCACTGTCCTCCCTGTTTACTAGTAGTATTTTGAATAAGATGAAATCAGCCTGAATGAATGCCGTAGCCAGCTTCACTGGAAGAGAATAGTACATCCTAAGAGCGTAGCCAGGAGCCTAGGATATTCTTTAGTGAAGCAGGGAGATTGGCCTTAGTGCTAATAATTGGGGTGATCATGGTTGAGGTGAGGAATTTGACATTTAAAATGTGTGTAGCCCTGTGGGCTGTCAAAAGTCTTCGATTTGCCATTTCACTTCATCCTCACAATAAACAGGTGTGAAACAGGCTCTTGCTCTCTGAGTGGACTACTCAAGGGCAGTGGTTTCTGCAAAGCCTGATCTGAGGCAGAGCTGGTGCCATAAACCTGGTCCTCTAATTCAGGGCCAGCACTCTGGCCATCTCACTGTGCCCCAGGGAAGGTATTCACATCAGTATCTGAATGATCCTACTGTTGGAATGAGAGTTTGGGGTTTTTTTTTCCCTAAAGCAGGAATGCTTTAAAATTAAACGGAAGAACTTTTCCTGTAAGAAAACAGGGAGAGAGAGGAAGAAGGAGGACTGGGGAAGCAGTGGAGAAACAGACACGGTGAAATCGAACTGCTTGAAATCGAACCTGGCGACAGTCTGATTCACAGCAGTGGTGCTTCCCAGAGCTCACGGCTCTGCCATGCTGTTTCTCTTCCAGATCTCCCCCAGATCTTCAGAGCGGCATGTCCGCCTCACGCAGATTTGCTAGCTAGGCAAATCTCTGAACCTTTTGGAGCCTCTTGTTTTCTCAACTATAAAAACTGGGAATTAAAAAATACCCACCTTGTTTATCTCATGCGTTTTTTTTTTAATCACATGAGATAATACATTTGAGAATGCTTGAAAAGCCAAAGTCCAGTACAAATCCAAGGAGTTGTTTGAGCTAGAAATGCTTAAAGCCTTGCCTCCTCTCTATGAGCATGTCCTGCGTGCAGGCTGCAGGCGTGAAGATCTTGCAGGGCTTGGCGGGATGGACTGAATCAGTGCTTTTCTGAGCAAGTGTTCCTCGGGGTCCCAGTACGTGTAGTGAGAGGCGTTATGAAGCCACAACGGAGCCACCGGACAAGGTCTTCACCCATCAGGAGTTAGAAGATGAGAGGCACTTAGTACTAAGTAAGGCAGGAGTTCCAGCTGGAGAGTGGCCAGGGCTCACCCAGTTTGTGGAAGAAAGGGACGGGGGAAGGCCCGAGGCCAGAGAGAACTGCAGAATGTCTGTGAGAAAAAGCACAGAATGTCTGTGAGGAAAAGGAAAGCGTCATGTGTGCGGGTGCAGGGCGGAGAGCAGCCTGACTGGAGAAAGTACTTTGGTTGGGACCTGGAAGGCACATTTGAGGAGCTGAGAGGCCACATGACCCAAAGAGCTGGCCTTGTCTCATGTATGTTTTCTATTGTCGCCACAGCAAATTATTGTAAACCAAATGGACCAAATAATGACAGCTCCTTTGGTCAGAATTCTGACAAGGCTTGGCTGGGTCCTCTGTTTGAGGTCTCAGGAGGCAGAAATCAAGGTTCTGGCTGAGGCGGGTTCTTACCTGCAAGCTTTGGAAAGAATCCTGTTCACA